TAGACTATAGCTCAAATCCCTAAACATTTCTGCGAGGAGCTGTTGAGCTCCGGCATGGTATTGTCTGCTCAGGCGCGTCCGATGCAGTCGTGCGCAGCAGACGGGTATCAGGCTGCTAAAAGAGGTACCCTAACTCTAGATCCTAAAGAGGATGAGGTATTTTATGAAACCTTAGCATACTCCGGGGATGTGAAATCATCTGAAGTGAAGTCAGTCTTTCCCAGCGTTGAGCTTTGAGTCTGTGCAGCTTCTACGCACCTGTTCTGGTGTTGCTCAAAATGATAGTGACCAGTCCTCATTCTATAGAATCAAAATGTGGTAAGCAAGGATGGGCGTACTTCGAAAAGACTGTGGCTTGCGCTAGCATGCCAGGAGATTATACAGTGAACTCTTCACATCTCCTAGCATGTCGCATGTACAAGCTTGAAGAATCTTGACGAGCTAGTAAGATTTCCCCTTGCATACTAGATACAAGCCAAATGGTGTTCTATAGTCAAATTGGCTTTCAACTTACTAGGTGATCCGTACACCTTGGGCTGTGGGCCGGTCGCATTTATGCACAACACACGCTTGGTCAGCTCCGCAGCAGAAAGTTCAGCACATGCACTTGGCAAGCTCGCCCTGGCAAGCAAGACCTACAGCACCATGGGGCCGTGCCAAGTTTTGTCTCCAGCTTTGGATTACCTGTTGTGGACTGAGCTATTTTGGGTGATATTTCGAGACTCTAATTTGCGCCATAGCTTGACATGCTGGAGCATCTGTTGAGTTTGCAGACAAAAGTCATGTTTGACGCTAAGCATCTATTTCTGGCTGCTGCGGCATCAGTTCCAAAGCCGCGATACCACCCAAACAACATGATAGTAAGCTCACAATGTTTTTTCTAGTCTCAACATCCTGATCACCTTAACCTTATCCTGACGCGAAAGCCCTAAAACTTACACTCTCACACCTGCACCCAAACCCCAGATCTGCTCCACTAAACCCAGCCGTGCAAGCTAGGGTTTCAGGTAAGGCTTTAGGGTTTAGAGGGGGACTGGAGTAGACCCTGCTTAAGAAGCCCACCTTCTATCAAAGCTATAGAAAGCAATGAGGGCTGTACATGTGTATCTCGAAAAATATACGCATACTCCGCGGTTCAGGATGTCGAGTTTGGGTTTGTTGGTTTCAAGAATTCTGACTACTGGGGCGCTCAGGGGGAACGTGCCCATCTACTAATTACCACCATCTAGGAGTTGTACAGTGGCCATATTTTGGACCTACTGGGATATGTAGGGTTTGGGGTTCAGAAGCCCAAGGGGAAATCAAATGGCAGCTGGGTGTATCTAGGGGTTATACAAAGGGACGACGTAATGTAGGGACCTGACTAATTACCAGCATAATCTTGAGGTCTAGTCGAGGTTCCCTAAACCTTAATTACGCGAGGAGTCTAGGACCAGAGTGACAGTACTCATTTTGGCTTCTACTTGAGGTGGGCGATGAAGCGCTCCCCAATTAAGGCTGCTCAGCTCTTCAAACCGCTCCCCTGTGCTATCACCCACCCTCAAACGCAATGTTAAGCACGTCACGAGATGTAAGGTCTCTTTTAAGGAGTATTTGATATTCAGGGGAGAAGTGGATTTAAGGCTGTGGGACTAAGTCATGCAGCTCTCATTACCTACTTACGCTTGTTGCACTTATCATCTCCCCTAAATGTGACGAAGAGTTCGAGAAAAGAGACAGCATGTGGCCTCTGCAACTTTGGCGGCGTCTGGGCCTGGAAAGTAAATATTCACTGCCTCAAAGCCTACAGCTCCTCCTAAAGCCAAAAACTAAGCATGATCACAGGTTGAGGGCTTAAGGCACACACTGGCAGCCAGATGTCTGCCAGGCACCCCCAAAGCAGATGAGGTTGGTGCATGGAAGTTGCGTCCCCAACATATCGCGTCAACCTCTTGATGCGGATGCCTAGATGCATATGCAGCAGAATCAGAATCTGTGTTTATAGCCCCCCCAAAATGAGCTTCTGAAAAGAGGACAGTACCAACAAGAAGTCATTAAATTGGGAAGCCAACAGGGCTGCTGAGTTATAAGTGCAAACGCAGCAGTTGCATGAGTCTCTGGGCGTCATGCAGGGTGTGGCGCTTCCACCGGACTGTCCTGCCTGCGAGATTCACCAGCAGAAGTGAACAGAGAGAGAGAGAGAGAGACAGAGAGAGAGAGAGAGAGAGAGAGACAGAGAGAGGGAGGGAGAGAGACAGAGAGAGGGAGGGAGGGAGAGGAAGGGAGACACAGAAAGCTACTGAGAGACATAGGTGCAGAGACACGCTGAACAACGGATGTTCGGACTCCTTTCGGTGATAGCCACTACGTATATACTATCTCTAGGAAGAATCACCAGAATGATTGCGTCTTGATATGAACTTTTCAAGGGCGCCCAGGATCGCAAGACTCCAAGGCCTCTCAATTATGGAATACTCTTTAAATTAAAAAGCAAAGATCCCAGCATCGCTAAAGGTACATTCCTCGATTAAGGTACATGGGGCTCTCGGATACACGCAAATAGTGGCTCTGCCTACATCATCTTCACGAGCCAAGATCTCAATATGCCATAATTCTTCTTATGGGAATCTCCAAAATGGCGGCTGGAGCAAGCAGCCTTCCCTAACACCTCATGAAAGCCACTATCTATGTGTATATAACCCCTGTACAACGCCAGTTGTCACGTGATGGCCCATCTCCTGTTTCAGTTGAGCCTCCAGCATTCTATCCCTAAACCCTCTGTATCTCCATATAGCCCATCAATACGCAAGCCCTATAAAAGCACAATATACTACCTACACGAAACCACAAATCTGTGGGCCTCTCTTCTCTCCCGGACTAGCTGCTCATACAGCTTTCGGTCCTCATGGTAGCAGCTTAGGATAGTTTAGGGGGTGGGGTGCAGGGATTAGTGTTTAGGGTCCAGGGTTTTGGGTTTGGGACTTAAGGGTTCAGGTAGTTCGAGATATAGGTTGTTCAGGCACTGGTCTGGACTTTATGAATCTGAGTTTGGAGCTTTAGGTGCATGTTCCCAAAGCTTTTTACAGAGTCAAAGCCCTAAAGCCTACACTTCGTGCCCAAAAAGTCTGCAGCCTGAACTTCTCACATTTGACTGCAAAAAATCTTGTCCTTTTATTTGCGCGGGGAAGCTCTAAGAAACAAGGGACCTGAGGGGTCCCGGGCCCGTGGTTACGACTTATGCTATCCCTCGAAAAACAAATAGCCCAAATTAGGTAAGATTTATAGACTTTACGGCCCAATGTAGGTATTTGTCTGCTTGGATCCCTAGGGTATGAAAACTTCTTGCAGAATTATTATTCGCCTGCTCCTGTTGCCTGAAAATTGGAACCTCAGCTGTTTTGAACCTTGCTTGCAGTTCGGTGCTGTCGCGCAAGGTTTGGGGTTTAGCCATTTAGTCCTCCTATTTTTGCCTAGCTGCTGGGGCGCGCACAAGACTTACACGGTTTAACGAATGTTGAGGACCCACAGAACCTCTCCCTAAACTCCAAACCCCAAACCCTAAATCCCTAAATCCCTCAACCCTAAACCCTAAATCCCTAAACCCTAAATCCCTAAACCCTAAAGCCTAAACCCTAAGCCCAACCATGGTCCCATAGCAATCCCTGCAGCCCTCTCCACTTCAATAGGGGACTACACCATCGAGAAAGTCTCAAACTTCAACCAGCCAACCCAAAGTCCTGAATCCAAAGGTTTTGGGCCCCAAAACCCACATCCCTCAACCTTGTAGGTCAATCCCCCCTACAGTCATAGCCCCTAAACGTGGAATTCATAGGGCCTTAATATACATAAAATACTGCTTTATGGTACTTATCGCTGGGTGGGGGATCGACCCAACCTCAACCGAGCCCCACGCCCTGAAGCTTAAACCAAATCCCTCAACCCCGCACGCCAGGCCCTAAACGTACTTAGTAGGACATGAGGGAATGTAGTCCCTATATAATCCTTGTATACCATATACCCTTATTCCCCACTAACCACCATGCCGTAAACTTATCAGAGCCACCCTAAACCCCAAACCCTAAACCCTACATGAGTGGTTGTCAAAATTATGGTCCTTTTTGGGTACCCTAAATATTAGGTGCCGTATTATAATAGGGGCCCAAAAAAAGGACCATAATTTGACAGCCACCCATATCCACCCCCTGCCTTGCCGGACAATGATCCGCAGGTAAGATCCAAGGTCTGGCTGACCAATCGCCTCACGCGTGATGAAGGGTTTACTTACTGCGGCTTTGTAGGGAATAAGGGAGTCTAGGATACAGGGATTATATAGGGATACGGAAAGGAATTCTGTAGGGATTCTATTCCCTTGTTCCCTACTAAGCACCCTTAAGTTTAAGCTTTCCGAGGTTAGGGTTTAAAGGCTAGGGCTTGAGGGCCAGACTTTGAAGGCTAGGGCTTAGGGCTAAAGATTGAGAGTTATGAAGGAGGCTCTCAGAAGTAACGGGGATCTAAACGTGTATGCACAATGTGCTCTCCACGTTTGTGTTCCCTTTTGAGCTTGCTGGATCATCCTTGTTCGCTCCGCGGCATAGGTTCTCCGATTGCGCACGGCAGTTGCCACTGGCTCCAGCGCCAGCTGGTGTTGCTTTTGGGGTTTGGGGGGGTTGGGGGGCCATGCCAAAATCATAATAACGTTCGTGTTCCTAAAGCATACGATTACCAGAGCATCCATGCCAAA